CCAGCACATAATGTACAAAACAAGTGAGGTATGTTCACCTAGAGCCTTTTAACTGCAGAGGTGAACAAACCAGTAACAGAGATCACTCCAGTTTGTTCTTATTCCTCTATGTGACTCATTTCACTTCTTTTAATCTTTCCAAGGATTCTACCTTTTGAACTGACTTTAAATTTTTTAAAGCCATCTTGCCTCAGTGTGGTTTTATTGGTATTTTATACAATGCCTTAAAAGCTGTACCCTTATGGGAGGCCCTGTGCCTCCTAAGTTTCCTTCATAACCACACTGACTTAGAACTGTGTCACTGTTCCTTCACTGTTCCTGAGTCTTTACATCCATAGAGTGGGAACCTTGCTGGTTGTGGTACACTTTCCCTTTGATATGTGAGGTTCACTGAGGCATATATATGAGGGCAATGATTCCCTGCATTACTCGCAATTTAGCTAGCCTCCCAAATCCATGTGGCTGCTCATCTTATATGTTTTTGGCAAAAGGAAAAGAACAATGAAATCCCCTCTCTTAGTGCACAGTGACCATCCTGACAGGATGCAGTGGGCAGAATTGGAAATGGTTTCCACCTGGAAGGTTCTGTTGGCACAAATAGACAGCATTGGAAATTCTCATGTCTGCTGGTGACGCCAGTTATGTTCATTCTCCTTCTGCTCTTTTCCTGCAGTCTGGAACCATAGTCCATCTCCTTGCAGAATCGTAACCATGTCAGACTCTGAGATATTTTTCTCAGAAAGGGTAAAAGGGAAGCAAAGTGCTCCCTGGATACTCTTGGTGAGAACAGCATTTTACTGAGAATGCCTCTCCTGCTTAGTCTTCTGCTCTCAACTTCATCCCATATTCTCCTTGGCCTAAAAAGCAGCAAGCTACACTCACACCCACAAATGGCAGGTAATGATCATTTCTAATAAGAGACAAATTGACAATTGCCCTTGATGTTGCCATCACTGAGTCCCCTACTATCAACCTCCTGGGAGTTACCACTGACCAGAAATTGAACTGGTCTTGCCATATAAATAGAGATTACAAGAACAGATCAGAGGCTAGGAATACTGCAGGGAGTAACTCACTTCTTGATTCCCCAAAGCCTGCCCACCATCTAAAATGCACAAGTTGATTCAAAAGTACAGTGTAATGGAATCTTCCCTTGTCTGGATGGTTGTAGCTCCAACAACACTCAAGAAGTTTGACACCATTCAGGCCAAAGCAGCTTGCTTGATTGCACTACGTCCACAAGCATCCACTCTCTCCACCACCGACGCTCAGTAACAACAATGTGTACAAGATACACTGCAGAAATTCACCAAAGATCCTTAGACAGCATGTTCCAAACCCGTGACAACTTCCATCGAGAAGGATAGAGGAAACGGATACAAGGGAACACCACCCTGTGCAAGTTCCCTTCCAAGCCACTCACCATCCTGATTTGGAAATTTAAAGGGTGGCACGGTGACTCAGTGGTTAGCATTGCTGCCTCACAGCGCCAGGGACCTGGGTTCAATTCCAGCCTCAGGTGATTGTGTGGAGTTTACACATTCTCCCTGTGTCTGTGTGGGTTTCCTCTGGGTGGTCCGGTTTCCTCCCACAGTCCAAAGATGTGCAGGCTAGGTGGATTGCCCGTAGTGTTCAGGGATGTGTAGATTAGGTGGGTTATAGGGGGATGGGTCTGGGTGGAATGCTCTGAATGTCGGTGTGGACTTGTTGGGCCGAAGGGCCTGTTTCCACATTGTTGGGATTCTATGATCACAGTTCTTTCAGCTTCGCTGAGTCAAAATCCTGGAATTCTCTCTCTAAGAGCATTGTGGGTCTACCTACAGCACGTGGACTGCAGTGGTTCAGGAAGGCAGCTCACAACCATTGATGGCAATTAGGGATTGGCAATAAATTATAGCCCAGGCAGCAATGCTTAAGTCCAATGAATGAATGAAAAACAATGTCCCTGCTCCAACTACAGCCTCCATTACAGAGAACCGGCTTTCTTTCGATTGGCTCTCCATCTCATAGAGATATAGAAAATAGGAGCAGGAGTAGGCCGTTCATCATTTGAGCCTTCTTTGCCATTCAATGTGATCATCGCTGACTCCTCTGACATCCTAGTTAAGACGCTGCCCAGCAGTAACGGACTATTAGAAACAGTAGTCTACCAGAAATTGAGATTCTGTCTTGGCTCTGGGTAGTGCATTACTGTTCGCTGCTTTAGTTGAGATAGAGCTGTTGCTGGTAGCATTCCCAGTACGCTGGCACCATCAGCTCGCACTGGGTGACAGGCTTCTACTCTCATTGAACTTTGTATTACGACTCGCTAACTTAATTGGCAGCATCTGTGAAGAGAAAATCAGAGTTAACGTTTTGGTGACCCTGAGGAAAGGTCACCAGACCCGAAATGTTAACTCTGATTTCTTTCTTCACAGAATCTGCCAGACCTGCTGAGCTTTTCCAGCAATTTCTGCTTCTGTTCCTGATTTACAACATTCGCAGTTCTTTCGGTTTTTATCGGCTAACTTAATTGTTTGCCCTAATTTTAAGCTATATATGCCATTTAACATTGATTCACCAATGCAGTCTAAAACTCACATCAATCTTATTTTAACAGCATCGTGGGTACAAGTTTGAATGTGATAGAAGTGAAACAAAGACACCTCTCACTCATTATAAAATTTTTATACTTTGGCAGTGCAGTTACCCAAAAAACATGAAAATGTGCAATTTAATTGATGAAGAGTAATATTTATTAAATACACAAATTATGCATGCTTTAAAAATGACATTGCATCTGATGCATGTGGTTCCTTGTTTTGGTCTTGGACCTTGTCAGACGTGTAGCTGTTTATTTTTGGGAGATCCTTTGTGGCTTCCTTTCCATGTAAGCCCTGTGTGTGGTTGTGCAATGTGAAGTATGTGCTTTGGATAGAAGCAAAATGTTAGCTACAGATATGAGAAGCCTACAGTGCTTCTCTGTACTGTAATGAACAGGGCAATGATGGGCAACAGAATGCAACTTGCAAAAGTCTGTTCTTGGTAACGACCCACTGCTCACAAGAAAGGTATGAGGGAGGGAAAGAGAGACTGGGGTAGGGATGGAGAGAGTCTGGTGAGGAGAGGGATAGAGATGCTGGGTGCAAGCAGTAGAAGAAGACTTGGTCATAGGGCAGGGGTAGAAGGGGCAGGAGAGTGGGAGAGAGAGTGACTAAGGCAGGGTTGGAGATACTTGGGAGGGGTGAGAGAGTAACTGGATGAGAAGAGAGAGGGAGAGAGACAGGGTGGGCAGAGTGAGAGACTGGGGAGGAAGAAGAAAGAGAGAGGGAGGGAGAGCTGGGAGGGACAGAAAATGAGTAAAGTGTCAAGGCTATTTAATGGTGGAGCAGGCTCAAGGGGCCGAATGGCCTACTCATATTCCTATCTTTAATGGTCCAATGGTGTTATGGAGAGCTAGGCAGGTGGGAGGAGAGTGGTGTGGGATTTTGGGGGCAATGGTGGAGTGAATTGAGGGATTTTAGGAGCCATATGGTGAGGAGAGAGGGGCTGACGGTGGGGCGCTCTAGCCTAGAGACAACTTTGACATGCTTCCTGCTTCACTCCCCACCGCAGAATCCCTCCCTGCTGTTCTCTCGCCCTGCTCTGGGCTGCTAAAACTAATTGAGAGTGTGAGACTAGAATGTTTGAGTGAGTGAGTAGATGGACTGGGATAAATACGCAGCTCTTTGCTCAAGACTGCCAGCCTCCAGTAATTCACAACCAGTGACAGGTACTAGGTTTAATTAATATCATAGGCTCAAAGTTATCTCTGATAGTAGGAACTGCAGATGCTGAAAAATCTGAGAGAACAAGGTGTAGAGCTGGATGAACACAGCAGGCCAAGCAGCATCATAGGAGTAGGAAAGCTGCTGATGCTGCTTGGTCTGCTGTGTTCATCCAGCTCTACACCTTGTTATCACAAAGTTATCTCTGTTATGAATAACTGCTCCTCTGGAAGCTGCAGATAATTACCAGTTAAAGCCTGGTAAATGCAGATAGGCACTGTTACTGGTGCAAACTGATATTTCCCTTTGAGTGGACTCCTTGTGGATCCAAAAGCATTTCTACTTCATTGCAACAGAACTCAACAGAATACTCCCACTCCCATTCACTCTGATGCAGCAAGCTATAAGTACCTCATCTGGATTTTTCACATCCATCTCCTTAACTGGTGTGAGTGAAGGTCCTTTGTTCAGATGATTGAGTTCAGATGAAACAATTGGGACAGGCATTAATATTGAGGGTTCTCGTAACACGGTGGTAATGGCCCTACCTCTGGTCTGGGGGCCCTAGGTTGAAGTCACACCTGCTCCAGAAGTGTGAAATAACATCTCTGAACAAGTTGAAACAATTAGAAACCATCTAACAGGGTCTGTGAGGCCCGGGTTCATGTGCTAGATCTATCAGATGTTACGATTTGTAGATTCTGCTGAGCATACTTCCGGCTCATGGCCTGATTGTCACTCCCCCACCCCCACAGTGAGGGCACAGTCTGTGTGGGCTGTTCCTGAAGTGGTCACAAATGCCTTGGTTGGATGTTTGTGGAGTTCTGGGCAAATGCTGGTGCCATACAGGTTTTAACAGTGCCTGTGAATCTCCCATTAACTTGGACATACCTCTCCTAATCTGCCTGTCTCTTTCAGAATCTGTACCCTGGGAAGCAGTCTGACCAATTCCTTGGAAATACCTCTTGATACTTTTCTCCATAAAAGAATAACCTCTGGATATCTGGTGGCACAATTGACTTGCATTAGTACACTGCCATCGATTAGTAAACCTTCCAATGGCTTCACTGAGTCCATTGCAATTCTTTTGAATGAGGTAGTGATGATGGGGTATATACATATATCTAGTTGTCTATATTTAGGGGTTGCAGCATGATGTATTCTATGGATAGACGTATAAAGGGGTGGTGCATGTATAGGGTTAACACATGGTGAAAACTATTATTTATAATAAGAAGCATTGTGGTTGGTCTACTTTAGATTAAGGTCTGTTGGCTGGTGAATAGAACAGCAGATTGAGCGCAGCCTCCGATGGGTGGGAGGAGAAGTTGCTGTCTTGTGGAGAGCTGGGAGTAACGGCACAGGCTTTCACTTCTCGGCCTCTTGAGTTGAGTGTATCCCTTGCTGTTGTGCCTCGTCTACTGGGATACTGCAGTCTATCTATCTCTCTGTGAGTGTGAGTGAGTGAGTGAGTGAGCGAGCGAGCGTGCGTGCGTGTGTCTCTATCTCTCTATCTCTCTCTCTCTCTGTGTGTGTGTGTGTGAGAGACAGACAGACAGACGGACGGACGGAGTGGGGGCGATGCTTTGCAGTGACTGAAGACTGGAACCAGTTGAGAGAACGTGGTGTCTGCGCTAACACGAAGAGCTGGGTGAGTCACTCCCGTTGTTTTCACTGAAATCGTTTTAATTCCCAGACAGGAGCCCCTCCTTCCCTTTATCTCGTTTATTCACTGCTTTCGCACAGTACAATTTATAAAAAAAGAAAAATCCGCTGCTTTTTAATTCTGTTCTGCGAGTTGAGAGCTCCCCGTTAGCGAAACGGATTAAGCTGTGCACCGTTTTGTTGCGGAGCTCAGGGGATTGTCTCATGGCCGCTCATGTTCATGTGTTTAAACCCTTCCTCGGGCAGCATCACCTTCCAGTGCTCGTGTGAGGGCAGCCCAGAAAATAAAAACCCCTTCTGTCCGAAAAACGAGAACAATCCATTTCTGGGGCTCTCGGCTCTCCCCTTTTGCTTTTAGCGAATGCATTTTGGATCATATAAAGATTCAAATTAAACTAAAACCAAAAAAAATAGAAGCAGCCTACAGCTTAAAGTCATTGAGCTGGGTTATTACAGTGAGGGAATCAGAGGGCATCCTTGGTGGAGAAGGGCTTTGCTGATTTTCAGCGTGTTCCATGGTGAGGGAGAAACCTTCTTAATTTAAAACGTTATGGGCCAGAGACTCCAGTGTTGCTGAGCCTTGTCTTACCTGCTTACTGTACTGCAGCTTGGTAAGAGGTCCAGACCTCCTCTCTAGGGACTGGGGTGAGGACGGCACCAGAATGTTTCCGTGCAGAGGGAGCCCATTTCACCAATCAGGTCTGCACCAGTTCTCTGAGCATTCTGATTCTGTGCCAACCTGTTGGTTTTTCCTTGTAATCCTGTGCATTGTTTCTTCTGTAAATAATCATTCAGTGCTGTCAGCTGAACTTGGCTCCACTACATTTCCAAGCAGTGTGTTCCAGACCTGAACATGGTCTCTGAATTCTGCCCTGGCATTCCATAGCCTACTTGTGTCCCAAGAGTGGCTGGCTGAGAGATTATCCCACTCCAGACATAGGGGAAGAGGCCTGAAATACCAGGTTAGTGTTCAGCTGGGGTAGAACACAGAACATAGAACATAACAGCGCAGTACAGGCCCTTCGGCCCTCGAATTTTTCTGATGAAGGGTCTAGGCCTGAAACGTCAGCCTTCCTGCTCCTATGATGCTGCTTGGCCTGCTGTGTTCATCCAGCTCTACACCTTGCTATCTCAGATTCTCCAGCATCTGCAGTTTCTACTATCTCTGTACAAAAGTACTGTTGTGTTCAGTTTTTGATTATGTGAATCTGTTGCAGTTGGATGCATACTATGCTTGAAGGGTTAGGCCTGGGTGTAGACTGAGAGAAAAGTAAAGAAATTTGGAAGTTGCTTGAAGCAAAGAGTTGTAAGTGGGAAGCAGACATTTTAAAGCACTGTAAATGAAACTGTTACCCAGCTAGTAACTAATGTATTCTCTGATATTAGATATGGTACAAATAATAACCATGAGAAAAACATGTATTTTTAGGCATGCTGCCTAGTAAAGTGACTCATGTCGAGTTTGTACAGGACATCGGTGAGGCCTACTATGGAGTACTGTGCCCAGTTCTGGGAACCCTGTTATAGGAAGGATATTATTAAACTAGAGAGGGATTGGAAGAGATTTACCAGGATGTCACCGGGTGTGGAAGGTTTGAGTTATAAAGAAAGGCTGGATAGGCTTGGACTTTTTTAACTGGATCATAGGTTAAGAAGTGACCTCACAGAGGTTTATAAAATCATGAGTATCGATAAAGTTAATGGTAGTTGTCTTTTCCCTAGGATGAGGATTTCAAGACTAGGGGCATATTTCTAAAGTGAGAGGAGAGAAGGTTAAAAAAAGACATGAGGGACAAATTTTTATTTTACACAGAGGGTGATTCGCGTATGGAATGAACTTCGAGAATAAGTGGTAGATGCAGGCACAGCTACAATATTTAAAAGACACTTAGCTAAGTACATGAATGGGAAAGGTTTGGAGGGATATGGGCCAAGCGCAGGCAGGTGGGACTAGTTTAGTTTGGGATTATGGTCGGCATCAACTTGTTGGACTGAAAGGTCTGTTTCCTTGCTGTATGACTCTGAATCATGTGTGAGACTTGAATTGGTAGTTGCTACTAAAACAAAACCCAGTAATATTAGGATTTTGTTTCTTTAGCAACAATAGCAAATAGAAAATGTGACATGAATTTGGGGCAACATAGTGGCTCAGTGGTTAGCACTGCGGCCTCACAGCGCCAGGGACCCAGGTTCGTTTCCACCTTCGGGTGACTGTCTGTGTGGAGTTTGCACGTTTTCCCTGTGTCTGTATGGGTTTCCTCCGGGTGCTCCGGTTTCCACCCACAGTCCAAAGATGTGCAGGTTAGGTGGCTTGGCCGTGCTCAATTGCCTGTAGTGTTCAGATGTGTAGCTTAGGTGGGTTATCGGGGGATGTGTCTGGGTGGGATGCTCCAAGGGTCGGTGTGAACTTGAGGGACCAAAGCTGAAGGACCTGTTTCCACACTGTAGGGATTCTAGGAATAATTACAACCCTCATAATGTTACAAAAGGTTTCAGGTGTTTTGTTTTGGGAGTAGGTATTCTTGAATTTTTATTGTCTTTATTGGCACTTTATTGTCTGCATCATGCGGGTGGATGGTGGCCTTATTAAATGTGACCACCAAGAAAGGGTTTCTGTTCCTTTCCTTTCTTGGCTGAGTGGCAAGAAACAAATAAATGGCTCTGCTTTTCATCCTGGGGAAGATTTGGAGGGTGAAATACCCCTGGGGTCAATGTTGGGACTTTTACCTGACTATATATAAAATAATCTAGACCTTGTTGTACGGTACATTTTCAAAATATACAAATGATACAAAATTTGGAAGCGTTGTAAACTGTGAGGAGGAAAGGGCAACGACAGTGGCTCAATGGTTAGCGTTGCTTGCCTTACAGGGCCAGGGACCTGGGTGCGATTCCAGCCTCGGGTGACTATGCAGATTCTACACAGATCTTCTCCCCATGTCTGTGTGGGTTTCTTCTGGGTCCTCCAGTTTTCCTCCCACAATCCAAAGATGTGCAGATCAGGTGGATTGGCCGTGCTAAATTGCATATCATGTCCAGGGTTGTGCAGGCTAACTGGATTAGTCATGGGAAATGCAGGATTACAGAGATAGAATAAGGGGATGGGTCTGGATGGGATGCTTTTTGGAGGATTGGTGTGAGCTCAATGGGCCAAATTTTTATTTTGTAGGGATTCTATGAAAATACAGAACTTAAAAAGACATTTTGGTGGAGGGGGCATAGAGACAGTGGATGAAATTTAATGTTCAGAAATCTGAGGTGATATACTAGTCAAGTTTGCCATTATCAGTTGCTGGGCTGCTCAATAGACTGGACATTTATCGATTTTTGCATGAGCTGAAGTGTGCTGAGAACAGTAACGTCTATCCACAGAGCCAGCAACTTTTTGTATACTTTCTTGAGCAGACTCCAGATGGGATCTTTGTCGCTTCATGATTCTTAAGAAGTGTCGCTGGACCCCAAATGTTAACTCTGATTTCTCTCCACAGATTATGCTGTACTTGCTGAGTTTTTCCAGCAATTTCTGTTTCTGCTTCTGATTTCCAGCATCCACAGTTCTTTCAGTTTAGATGCAGGAAGGATGTTTCTGATGGTGGGGGATCTAGAACCAGGGGACACAGCTTAAGGATAAGGTGTAAACCTTCTAAGGCCATGCTGAGGAGAAGTTTGTTCACCCAGAGAAGGGTGAGCCTGTGGAATTCACTACGACAAAGCAGTTGAGATTAAACCGTTGGATTTTCAAGACAAAGGTAGATAATAGCTCTTGTGGCTAAAGGGATCAAGGAATATGGTGGATGACAGGATTGCGGGTATTAAGCTCAATGATCAGCTGTGGTCGTATTGAATGACAGAGTCGACTTGAATGGCCTGCTTCTGCTGTTTTGTTTTTAGCTGGGGCCTACTCATTGAAATAACATTTCCTGCCTTTTTATTCCAGACTTGTTGCGTTAAAGGCTAACATTCTACTTCTTCATTCTATTTATAATAAATTCACCAGAACCCATTCTTTGTTTCTCTATCTATCCACTATTAATAACCCTTTTGTTTTGACTTTTCCACTGGGACTCTATACCATCTGCCGTCTTTCTCCTTCTCTCTGCTTCCATTAAAAGTAGAAACAAGAAGCTATTTTCTTAAACAGCTTTCAGTTCTGAAGAAGTCCTATCAGACTCAATATTAACTCTGTTTCTTTCTCTAAAGAAGTTGCCAGACTAGCTGAGTTTCTCCAGCACTTCTGTGTTCGTTTCAGATTTCCAGCCTGTGCAGTATTTTGCCTATGCCTCGTTTCTTTATTTAATGTTAAAAGATACAATGCACTCAAATAAGTCTGCCTTTTTCTGATTATTGTTTTGCTTGGGTCAGTTTTTAATGAGTTTACAGGGGGAATCACAAATGTTACAACCTTTAAAGATAAATTTAGAACCACAGTTCAGTACGGTTAACCTCCTTATTTGCTAATTTTGTGGAAGTATCAATTTGGGACAAATGCAGGTTAACTACGGAGAGCCAGCATGGATTCTTAAAAGGGAAATCATGTTTTACTAATGTGCTAACTTTAGAAGAGCTTCCAGAGAAGGCTAATATCGATAATGCTGTTGACTGTGAGGATGTTTGTTATAGTGCAGCAAAACAGACTTGTGAGCAAAATTAGAGCTCATGAAATAAAAAGAATAATAGCAACACGATTGAGCAATTTGATAATGATGAGAAACAGAGTAATGGTGAATGGGTGCTTTTCATCATGGGGAAGTTTTGGAGTGGAATATCCCATTGGGTCTTTTTTTTATGAAGTGTATTAGTGATCTAGACCTTGTAGTACAGGATGCAACGCAAAATATGTGGATTTTCAAAACTTGGAAGAATTGTAAACTGTGAGGACGAGCTTCAAAAGGACATTGACATTAGCTTGCGCAGATGGGTGGCAGATGAAGTTCAGTGTACAGAAGTGTTAGGTGATGCATTTTGATAGGGAGAATGTGGAAAGAC